GCGCGCATAGCCAATTTCTTCAGCATGAGATGGACAGGGATGAGACCAGCAAGGGCCTCAAGACCGCCTGAAGGTGAGGTGCGGAAAGCACCCGTGATCCATAGAGCAGCTTTTCGCTGCATCCGTTTCAACTGGTTCATGGCGCCCGGAATAAGGGCGCCATCAAAATACCAGAGACGATAGCCGTACGTGGCAATAGGGACCACGCACGACCTATATAAGAGGCGGCGCTGTTTAGGTGAGAGCCCTCTAGTAGAGTTCCCGAGCATGCGCATGGCCTGCACGGTGGTAAACACCTTGGTGGCGTAGTAGTGAACGTGCTCATGAAATGTGAGCCCTCGGTCAAAGTAGAAGCCCAAGTACCTCCAATAGGTCTTGGGCTTCAAGGGTGTAGCACCGGTATGTGGGGCGTACCCCAAATCCAGTGAGGGATTGTAGGCATCTCGTCAACGCGAAAAGTGGAACAACTCGGTCTTGTTGTGTTCAAGAACGAGCGCGAAAGCAACAAAGAGCAGGTAGATAATTTTGTAGGCCTTACGCAGGCCCACATTATTATCATCAAGTTGTTTGGATTGGGCTAAGATGGTCCCATCATCCACAAAAGAAAGTAGTGTCATGTTGAGTGGCACCGCTTTGATATAGAAGAGCTTCATTACTGGAGCAATGAAAAGCCCTGAAATAACAGGCGAGAGAGCGGAGCCCTGCCTGACACCCACGTCCGCAGACCACGAGTCAGATTGAAAGGTATTCCAACAGTAAACTGTGGACCGACCAACAAGATAGGACACAAAGAACTCCACCAAGATTGGCAAGAATCCTTCCTTGCATCTCATGGTTGATAGAAGGGAAGAACTGTGCGATGTCAAAAGCCAGCGTGCTAGTCTGGAGACCCTTAACCCACCCCGCTCGCACGAGATGAGTCAGAATCAATCCAGCATCCTCAGTTGACCTCTGGCAGATGCCGCCGAGTTGGTTGAGATGCAAGATATCATGCTTGACTGCATCAAACTAAGTTCTTACCGAAGGTGATGAGGAGTACGATTGGCCTGAAGGCCTTCGGCACGGAATAGGAGGGCTTGTTCGGCTTCGGAACGATAACTGATAGCGACTCCTTGAATATACGCGGCCAATGACCCACCCGAAGGCAAGCGTTGGCCAGCACGATGAAGAGCGCAAGGACATGTTTGTCCTTGAGCAACTCCTTTAGGTGGACCCACGTAACGTGGTCCGGTCCTGGTGCAGAGGAGTTGGAGCACCCCTTAAGGGCACTCAACAACTCATGCTCCGAGAAGTCAGCCCACTCACGGACCGGCTCGTCAGGAAGCTCATCTAAGACTGAGGCGTCGAACTCGTGACCAGAGGCCGAGTTGTACGTGCTGTGCAGGGCGTCCCAAAGGTCGTCCATATCATGGCAAGGCTGGTCGCCATTGCGAATAGCCTCACAGGGTGGTAGCTTGCGTTGTTTGACCCATTCCATTAGGTCCCACGGGCGCT